GATATTGGTGATGGGACATGTACACTGGTGGAGGGATGGATGTGGAAACATTGTATGACTGAAACCTAATCATGATCAGCTTTTAATTGTGTATTTCACAGTGATTCAATAAAAAGAATTAAAAGTGGAAAGAAACCCACTTGATGACTATAGAAAACAGCTATATAATGAATTATTACACATCTGTAAAAAGAAGCAATCTATGCTAAGATTTTATAAACTTTGAAAATATTAGCCTGAGATAAGCAAGATACAAATGATGACATACTATATGACTCTATTTCAATGAAAAGCTCAGAAACCGAAAACCCACAGAAAAATAAAATTGGTGATTGTCTCAGAGTGGGGCGTGAAAATAAAAGAGAGACTGAAAATGGAATGAGGTTTCTCTATGGGGTGATGTACATAATTTAAAAGAGAATTTGGCAACGGCACTGCAACTCTAAATATACTAATAAACATCGTTACACTGTACACTTAAAAAGGACAAAACTGGAGAGTAAGAAACCAAGTCTATAATTGTCAAAAGCTAGGAGTGTGAAGAGATAAGTAACAACAAAAGAGAGAGGAAGCTTTAGGAAGTAATGGGAATTTTCTTTATATTCATTGTGATGGGTGGTAGTTATACAACTGTATGTATTTATATAAGCATACTGAGTTTCACCCGCAAAGATAATAAGATTTTCTCTGTATAAATTATACATCAATAAAACTGACTACTAAAAAGTTAAAACCAGGTTTCCATTGCCACACAAATACATAGAAAAATATTTTCAAAGTTGAAAGTACAGTTCCATCAGTAATTTCTGGCCCTTAATGCAATGCAAAGAAATGTTCGATATTTTAAATTCTTTTAATGGTAACTGGGGCATTTCACTTAATATTCAGTTGAAAGTGATTATTCTACAATGCAGTGGCCTGCTGAAAAGCAGATATTAAAAGAAAAATCAAACAATTCTTTTTGTTTTGTTTTGTTTTGGTTTGGTTTGGTTTGGTTTGGGGGTCACACCTATTGGTGCTCAGGGCTCACCAATTGGCTCTGCAATCAGGGATCACACCTGGCATGCTCAGAGGACCATATGTGGTACCTGGGATAGAACATGGGTTGACCATGTGCAAGTCCTATCTGCTCTAGTTTTGCTTTGGCCTGGATCAAACAATTCTATTCTAAGCAACGAATAGTTGCAAACATTTTAATTCTAATTCTAATACTATCAACTCTCGATAGTATATGACAGATACCGCACTTCACTTCCCTAAGGACTTTTCCCCCACAAAACATAACCCAAATTTAATCAAATGAAACACATCAGACAAACCTAAAGCAAGGGGTTTTCTGCAAAAAACTGTAATCTTCAAAAATTATTAAGGTAATCAAAACAAGAAAATCTTGATTAACTAAGGTCATCAAAGTACAAAGACTGTGTAATGCAGTATCCTGAATAGGACACCATCCAGACAGAAACTAGAAAATTTGGAATAAAATATGAAGTTTAGCCAGTACTGACAGAAATGTTGGGTTATTAGTTGTGATACCTAATACACCAATGTAAAATGTTGATGAGAAGGAATTCAGCAAACAATCCTTAGACAATTTGGTTGGTTATCTACACACTAAAGAACTTAGACCTTTACCTTGCACCATACAAAAAATTAACTCAAGGCTGGGAGAAATAGCACAGAGGTTAACATATTTGCTTTGCACATAGCTGACCCTGACCCAGAAGTGCATATGGTCCCATGAGCATGCCAGGAATAATCCCTGAGCATAGAGCCAGGAGCAAGCCCTGAGCACCACTTTCAGTGGGCCAAAAATAAATGCAATTATTGAGATCTTGGGTTGAGCAACAATTTCTTAGATACAATACTGAAAACATAGACCAAAAAAGAAAAAATAATGAGGGTCAGGAAAATAACTCCAAGAACTGAAGCACATTATTTGGCATATGGAAAACATACAGGTTCAATCTCCAATACAGCTTGTTCCCTTAAGCACCATCAGAGCATCCCCTGAGCACTGATCTGAGACTTTTCCCCTGAGCACTACAGGGTAGTCCCCCACCAAAACATAACTTAGACCTCAACACAATTAAGGAAATCTTACTTCAAAAGACACCATCACAAAAATTTAAAGAGGGCCGGAGCAATAATAGTACAGCAAGTAGGTCATTTGCCTTGCACACAGTCAATCTCTGGGATCCCATATTGTCCTCTGAGCCATGTCAGGAGTGTTCTCTGAGCACAGAGCCAGGAGTAAGCCCTGAGAACCACCGAATGTGACCAAAAAATAAAAAGATAAGGACCAGACTAGGAAAATATATCCGCATATCATGTCTATGGACTTGTATTATAAATATATAATTTGAAAAACTCAACGATCACAATCATGATCATCCTGTTGTTTGTCAATTGCCTCGAGCAGGCACCAGTAATGTCTCCTTCATCCTAGCCCTAAGATTCTAAAAAGTGCCACATTCAAGGCTCTTTCAGGGTTAGGAGAATGAGACCCATCATTGTTCCTGTATTTGGCATATTGGGTACGCCACGGGGAGTTTGCCAGACTCTGCCGTGTGGGCGGGTTACATTCGGTAGCCATTTATTCTCTTATGTTGAGAAAAATTCAACATAAGAGAATAAAAACAAACTCAATTTTAACTGGAATTTAATACAGAAACTTCACCAAAGAAGATAGAAAATATTTAATAAACATGAAAATATGCTCATGATCATTATTACAGAAATATAACCACTATGAGATATTATTCATACCCAGTTCACTAGAGAAGATGGACAATATGAATATTGCTGAGAAACAGAAATAGAGAAATAGAAATCATCTTTACTGTTACTATCAGAAATGCAAACTAATGCTGCACTTTGGAAAACAGTTATGATTCTTTTAAAAAGTTAAACTGAATCTTGTGTTATGATTCAAGTAATTCAACCATCATGAATCTACCACATAGAAATTAAAAGATATGTCCACATGAACATCTGCATATCAATGATTTTAGTAGCCTTAGTAATAACAGGTATAATTTGGGAAAAATCTACATGTCCATAAGCTGATAAGTATATGTACAAAATTTGTTACATGCATAAAAATAAATATTATTTAGGGCTGGGGAGATAGCTTAGAGTGCTGGAGTGAATGCCTAGCATACACAGGCTCCTGGGTTTGATCCATACACTGCATCGCCAGCTGAGCACTACCAGATGTCACCCCAGTGGTCTGCAGCACTGAAGGGTGGGCCCAGAATAAAAAAAAGAAAAGTTCTAAAAATTAAATACCAGTCAGCAATAAAATAGTGCTCTGTGGCATGATATAATTGAAAAAGATGCTAACTGAAAAATTCAGGCATAAATTACCACATGTTATATGATTTCCTTCAGATTAAATAATCAGAATAGGAATTTTTAGAGAAACAGAAATAGATAAATGGTTTCTGGGCATGAGTGGAAATGAGGATTAACCCCAGGGACTGGAGAAATAGTACAGCAGGTAAGGTGCTTGCATTGCATGCAGCTGAACCCAAGTAAGATCTCTGGCACCACATATGGTGCCCAAGCCCCACCTGGAGTGATTCCTGAGCTCAGAGCCAGGATTAAGCGCTGAGTATCCCCAGGTGTGAACTGAAAACAAACAAAAAACTCTAAGACACCTTATTGGGGGAATTAAAATGTTCTAAAGCTAATAATTATGATAATTATTACTAAGTAACGCTACTAAAATCATTTAAGTATAGGCTTAAAATGGGTGAATTTTATGTTACCAAATATAACTTCATATAGCTGCTAAAATATTAGAAACAGAACTGTAGGGGAAAATGGTTGGATTATAAAAGTTCCAACTATCTTTGGAAGTTTTCTATAAATCTAAAGCCATAGTGAAAAAAAAGCCATAATGAAACTAAAATTTTGTATTTAAATAAAAATAGAATTTAACAAGAACATTTGTGGATTTATATTAACAGTTGATAATACCTATCTATGTGAACAATTAAATAGGTAAGATCACAATAACACATTAACAAATGAATATTCCAGATAAGACTCAAGATAGAGAACACTGACTCTAAGTCCCAATTAAAACGGTAGTCCTTCCAAAACAATTCCATTATTCGGATTATTAGTTCTATATTACAAAAAGTGCTCAATTATTAAAGTTTAATTTCAACATTTATTAACGTTCCTGTTGTCTCTTGTCATATAAATACCTACAAAATATCCTTCAAGTTTACCTTTAACTGACAAAATGTAAAATATTTCCATGTGGTTCTTTACAGAAAGTTTGCCATGTTCTTCACCATTACAAGATACATAGAAGATAACTAGTCCGTTTTTTGAGTGTATTCTTATCAATACCTAGTTTTGGCACAATGCCTTTCTGGATATACCCTATAAAGAACAAGCCTTGCCTCTCCTGCTGTGGCACTCTTTGAAATTTCCATAAACAGAAGAGCACTAGTAGCTTAATAGTTTTAGCAAAACCTCGATATCGTTATTATGGTGACAGTACACGGCCCTCACCACACGACAGTAGCAAGCTGACCCTCATCAAGTCACCATGCTCCGGAGTCACCAAGGTCCCTTAGATATCAAGTGGCTCCTATGGCATCACACTCTGCCTTTGGCATCACCCTAGTACATCACCTTACGATGGTGTCATATGCTATCACCGCTGAGACCGAATCCCGCCCTGGTGCCACTCCACCAAGTCATCAGAATAATTAATCGCTACTTCTTTCCACTCCTTTGGCAGCAGCAGGGAGGGGGAGGGTAGCCAGAGCCGCCAGACAAGCTCCGGAGTGAATACTCCGCTCCAAACGGTCGGTCCCTTCCGCCTGGTACTTCGGCTTAGCCCCCAACCCCCGGGGGGAACGGTCCCTTTAAGGCTCCCAGAACTCCCCTGCCGTGGCTCTGGACCCATTTCGCGCGACCGAGTCTGGGTACCGAGAGCGACCACCCTCCCCGGGTCCACACGAAGCCGCTTCCCGTACCTGACTCCATTCTCCAGCTGTCATCCTGGGCCAATTCCACGGGCCACTCGACTATGGCGGCCACAAGGGACCCCGGGACTTGTAGTTCCGTTCTTCTGGGGCTCGAATGGTGGGCGCTGCAGAGGCTCCGCCCAGCCCGGAAGTGCCATCAGACTGCAACTCCCAGGGGCGCCGCGCGCTGGGAAAAGACCAAAGGAAAGAAGGGGAGCGGGGCTGGGCGGAGCCCGGCTCGTTCTCAGGATTGGCCGTTGGGGCAAACCACGTGAGGCGGCGCTCGTTACGCGGTGCGGAGATCCCGGGAAGGAAAATGGAGGGGTGTGTGTCAAACCTAATGGTCTGCAACCTGGCCTTTACCGGACAGCTGGAGGAGTTGAAGGAGAGGATTCTGGCCGACAAATCCCTGGCTACTAAAACAGACCAGGTAAAGCAGGACCCGGCTTTTCTGCCGCTGACGGCGTCAGGCCGTACGAGGCTGCGTGGCCGGCCCAGGCTAAGGCGTGTTCAGGGGAGCCCGATGCCCCCGCCCCCTTGATGGCCCATCTTTATCCCGGAGTTGCCTTGAGACTTGGAATCTGGTGAACGCCGGTCGCCCCACACACCCCGTCAAAAAAATAGCCCAGTACTTAGGTCCTGAAGTTTTATTTCTTAGAATGCAGTTCGCGATTCCCAGAACTGCTCAATAGGCTTAGAAGCCCCTGAGAAAGATCGTGCTTGTTAAGGAAGTGGGTTATTTCACTAGTGATTGCGTTCAATGAAGCTCATGTTCTATAAATGCGTCATTGGTAAAAGGCCGTTGGCTAAGAGGGGATACAGCCGAGCGGAAGAACCAGGCGTTAATAATCTAATCACGAAAACGTATGTCCAATTACAAAATGCAGCTTGCGCGGGAGAGTTCACGTGTTGCTTTTAGAGCATCAAACGGAGGATCTGAGCTAATCTCTTTAGACGAGCAGAGTGCTGGCAGCTGTAAAGCCCGCAAAAAAAAAAAAAAAGAAAAGAAAAGGGTAGCAAAGATGGATGGTTAGCTAGGCCTTGAAAATCACTTTATCATTTTCCTGGGCACAGCAAGGTATTCCACGCAAACGAAGATCAAAAGTGAATGACTTCGCCAAGTGTTTCTTTCCAATCTCCTGTTTTAAGGTCCCTGATTTTACCCCCAAGCCTTTGGAAAGATTGAGGGTGTACCCAGTAAGCTAGATATTGGTAGCATTGCGTCCTTTTTGACGTGCATCACGCTAAGCCCTAGAAAGAGTGCGTGGTATTTATAAATCTCCATTTTTTAAAATTTGGGAACTTTTATTTTTTTTAACTTTTTATTAGTGAAACTCCATGTGGTACAGTTGTTGACCTTACTAATTTTTGTGCTTGGGTTTCAGTTATACAATGATTGAGTGCCCATATCGATTTCTCAAGCGGGCCCAGTAGCGTCACCATCATGAGACTTTATTGTTACTGTGTTTGGCATATCGAATACGTCAGGGGTGGCTTGCCAGGCTCTGCCCTGTGGGCGAGATACTCTCGGTAGCTTGCCGGGCTCTCCGAGAGGGGCGGAGGAATCGAACTCGGGTTGGCCATGTTGGCTGCGTGCAAGGCAAACGCCCGCTGTGCTATTGCTCCAGCCCAATGTACAGTATTACATGAAATACATAATAATTGTATAGAAAAAGTGTATATACAATAATATATAGCTAATATATCACTGTAGTGATAGCACAGCGGTAGGGCATTTGCCTTGCATGCCGCCAGCCCAGCCCAGCCGAGTTCAATTCCTCCACCCCTCTCAGAGAGCCCGGCAAGCTACGGAGAGTATCTCACCCACACGGCAAAGCCTGCCAAGCTCCCCGTGGTGTATTCGATATGCCAGACACAGTAACAACAAAGTCTCACAATGGAGACATTACTGGGCCCGCTCGAGAAAATTGAGGAACAACGGGAGGACAGTGACAGTGAGTACCCATCCCTCCACTGGTGGCCATTCCCCACCTCCAATGCTCCCAGCATCCCTCCCACCCACCCCCCCACCCTTCCATCCCACCCCACCCCACCCCTGTGGCTGGGAATTCTGTTTTATTCTCTCTCTCCTTTTGGGTGCTGTGGTTTGCAAAAGAGGCATTGAGTGGCTGGCTATCATGTTCGGTTTATAGTCTATTTTCAGCATGCATCTCTCATCCTGGGAGGGTGCTCCCAACATCCTTTACTTAGTGCTTCCCTCTCTCTCTGAGCAGCCTTCTCCCTCAGCATGTGCGGCTGGCCTCCAAGCCATGGAGTGAACCTCCTCGTACTTATCTTGGCTAGTCTTGGGTGTTAGTCTCCCAATTTGTTACTTTATATTTCCCAGATGAATGCAGTCTTTCTATGTCTGTCCCTCTCTGACTCATTTCACTTAGCATGTAAATCTCCATTTTTGTCTTCTCGGGAAGAGAACTAGAAATCAGGAAACTTTTATTCTAGAACTTTGTTACTCAACATGAAGATGTCCTTTGCTTCTACCTCATTTATCTTTTTGTTGTTGTTTGGGCCACACCTGGTATTGGTGAGGGCTTACTCCTGACTGCGCACTCTGAGATCTTTCCTGGTGGGACTCGGGACCACGTTGGTTGCTGGGGAATCAAACCTGGGTTGGTCACATGCAAATACAGTATCTGCTATACTTCAACCCAATCTTCATTATGTTCTGATAATGTTTAATAGTATTAGACAAAGATTCAATGATGCTTGTATTCCTTCATCATGCAGAAGGCATGGAAGGGAACGGGGGAGGTAGTCAAGATCAAATGACTTACAAAACAATCACATATATATGGATTTTTAATGGATCCTTATGGAATAAGCTAACAGAAAAAAGCCACGTGGAAGATAATTGGGGAAATCTGAATACAGGCTGGGTATTAGATTTTATAAAGGTGTTAATTTTAATAAGTGTAACAATAGTTTCATAGCTACGTAAGAAAGTGGTTTTAGTTTTTTATATGCTAAAATATGTAGGGATGAGGTGGCTGGCATTTAGGATTTTGTTTTTTACAACCTCAGCAGGGAAAAGATTAGATGAAAAAAATGTGGGGATGGTAGACGTGAGTTTCTCTAACATCCCTCTGTTAAGATAGGTGAAACTTTTTGTAATAAAGTTCACAATAGCATTTCTTTTACAGAGGGCTAAGATGCATCAGTCGCTGCAAAAAGAGATTCTTTGGGGCCAAAGAGATAACTCAGAGCTAGCGCGCATGCTTTGCATGTTAAGATGCCCAGGTTGGATCCCTGGCACTGCATGATCCTTCAGACAGCAAGACCGAGGATACCAGAACACCACCACATGTGACCCAGATACCCCCAAAAAGGGGCATAGAAATTGTACGTAGGTTAGGATGCATATGGTGCCCAATCTCTAGCACTACGTAGCCTCCCAAGCCTGGTATAGCTCTGCAGGCCCCAAGCACTGCCAGGATATCCCTGGTGATCCTCAGCACAGGTAGGGTCTGAGCAGCACCGCATCCTCCACACTGGCTCTGAACCACATGACTTTTTGGCCAGGTGTCACTGGGAGTGACCCTAAGACCCCACAGCTTTGTTTGGAAGCCACCTCCTGTCACCTTCCCCTACTCACCTCCCACCCCGTGCAGAAACAGAATGGAGAGATTCCCTTTGAGAAACATGGCTGACTCTGGCTAGATTTTTTAAAAGTAATTTTATTGCAAAACCAGTATTGTTCTCTAATTTTGTCATGTCGTTTTAAAATGACCTTCTAGTTTGAGCCTTATTTTGAACATTTCGTCCCCATAAGATAATATTTTTTCTTTCTAGAACATCTAGAAATTTCTGAGTCAGAGAGTTTGTGTCCCAACTTCACCAATGTTTTGCTATGTGAACTTGAATACATTGCTTACTCTGAGGAGCCTTAGTTTCCCTATCTATAAAATGGGAATAATATCTACTGTATAGTTAATAGGGATTAAATAAAATGACACATAAAAAGCTCCTAGCTTAGTGTCTGATGGAGAACTTCATAAATAATGTAAAACACTAAAGCTTCATTTCTGCCAAAGTATTAAAATTGTTTTCTTGCTCTACTGTTCTCAGGGCTATATTTTCTATCCACCCCAGATTCTTCTAGGTTACATAAAACTTAGGTTTCTTCCTTAAATTGGCAAATAATATGGTTTAAGATTACGTACATGAGGATGCAGTTTGCGCCAATCTTTTTCCAAACTATAGATTTGTTATTTCAATATTTTTCTCTGTTTTCTTGCCTTAGTTCTTGTATTTCTTTTCAAGGATGTTGATTTTATAGTTTTTCTTTTTCCCTTGTAGGATAGTAGAACTGTATTACATTGGGCATGCTCAGCTGGTCATACAGACATTGTTGAATTCTTGCTGCAACTTGGAGTGCCAGTAAATGATAAAGATGATGTAAGTACTCAGCAAAGTTGGTAAGTCCTCCATTATCTTTATGTAGCAGACTGGTGTTGTCTAAAGCCTGAGTATTAAGATCAAAAATATTGCTTATTCATTGAAGTCATATTTATAATAGCAGTTAAACATAAAAAACTCTTATGACTAGGAAATTATACTGTGACCCCTGTGACCAAGCATAGAACAAGTGCTTGCTTATTTTAGAATGTCAGCTTGCTACTAATATCCTGTCATTTAAAGTAAACATGCTGATTATGGTGTATTATGATGACCAGTAGGAGACTCCAGAACCTTTTATTATGTTGGAATTTGGGGGTAATATTGCTGAAATTAATGAATGCTTCAGTAGTTTTTTTTCTTGGTGTTGCTGGGGGATTAAACCCATGTCCTCATATATGCAAGGCATGTGCTCTACCACCGAGCCACATCCCTGACCCTCAATATCTCTTGTTACATATAGAAATTTATTGTTTATTACGTAATTGGTTATTATGATCACACTTGTGAAATATAGGATGGAAGATTTTTGTTGGTTTGGCTATGCAGCCATACCCATGGTTCTCTGGGCTTACTCCTGACTCTGCACTCAGGGATCGCTCGGGCTTGAAAGACCCATGGGGTGCCAGGGATCAAACCCAGGTTGGTCACACAGAGGGCAAGTGCCTTCCTTAGCCACTGTAATTATCTCTCCAGTCCCCCAGATACATTTTTATAGGAAAGGATACCTTTACACACTTGTTCACTGAACTGATATTGATAATAGCAGTGAAACAATGGAAATGAAGAGTGGTTGAATGCAGTAATTATCCCTATGGTAAAATAATATGCAGCCAATAAAGTTATGATTCCAAAGGACAGAACATTGCTCAATAAATTTAATAAGTAGAAATTTCAGAGCATGCTACTCAGTATTTTACATCCTATCACTCCAATTGGAAAACAAATTGGAATTAAATTTGTATATCAAATGTTATGGTATTGTGGGTGTTTTTCTTTTGTATATGTTCTGGTCTCCAAACTTCCCACAATGTTTAACAAGGAAAAAAACTTTTTTAATGTAGAAGTACTGCTATTTATTCAGCCATTGATTAAGCTGATTGAATTGGGCTTGAACTCCACAGGAAAAAAATTTTTATGTCAATGATTTTTCAACCTCTGATCCACAGACTGATGCCAGTCTCCTGTTATAAAAATATCAACAACTATTGTTTTAAGCCATTCACATGTAGCTGTTTTGTAAACCCTGCCAAAAAGTTATCATTAATCCCTAGGCCTTTTCCTTTAGTTTTTATTTCCCCATTTTTTAACTCATAGTTGCTATTGTTGTTTTTTAAATTTTTGAGACTTTTTTCTTTTTTTTTAATTTTTATTAGTGAAACACCCATGAGGTACAGTTGTAGACTTACAAATTTTTGTGCTTGGGTTCCAGTTATATAATGATCGAGTACCCATCCCTCCACCAGTGCCCATTGTCCACCACCACTGATCCCAGTATCCCTCCCACCCCTCCATCCCTCCATCCCTCCATTCCCCCCATCCCACTCATCCCACTCTGCCTCTGTGGCAGGGCATTCCATTTTGTTCTCTTTTGAGACATTTTTATTTGAACTTCCAAGCAGCTCTTTATGCCACCAGTTGGAGTAACAGTGGGGGTCTTAACAGGAAACTCTCCCAACTCCCTGTACTCAAGTTATCAAATATAGCTAATAGACCTGGCTTGATTTAAAATGTGGAGACGGGAAACCTTCTTGAGTGTACCATGATGATAGCACTGCACCGTAGCACTGTCCTCCCATTGTTCATCGATTTGCTCCAGCCAGCACCAGTAACGGCTCCATTGTGAGACTTGTTACTGTTTTTGGCATATCGAATATGCCACGGGGAGCTTGCCAGGTTCTGCCGTGCGGGCAGGATAATCTCGGTAGCTTGCTGAGCTCACCGAGACGGACAGAGGAATGGAACCCGGGTCAGTCATGTGCAAGGCAAATGCTCTAACTTCTGTGCTATTACTCTAGCCCACACCATGATGATACTAATTAAAAATATGAACATCTGGGGTTCTGGAGCAATAGTACAGTGGGTAGAGCATTCTCCTTGTATGCAGCTGAACTGGGTTCAATCCCTGGCACCCCATCTGATCACCTGAACCCTTCCAGGTGTGATCCCTAAGCTCAGAACTGGGAATAATCCCTGACCACAACTGGGTATGGCCCAAAACCCAAAACAAAACAAGAACATCTGCTGAATCAGAACTTTTTTTGGTTGGGGGAACATATGGGTAAGATATTAATCCCTGCCATTTGTTTCTTTTTTTTATCTGTTTCTTTTTATACCACAAATTTGTTTTTCATGAGCTCAAGAACTCAACTTAAAATTCTTTTCTGAGTATTTTCCCTATCTCTCTTGCAGGCAGGTTGGTCTCCTCTTCACATTGCAGCTTCTGCTGGCCGGGATGACATTGTAAAAGCCCTTCTGGGAAAAGGTGCTCAGGTGAATGCTGTCAATCACAATGGCTGTACTCCATTACATTATGCAGCATCCAAAAACAGGCATGAGGTAGAGTTCTATTCCTCAGCTACTTTCTTTTGAGTTCTAAATATGTCTGTGACTACAAATAGATCTCTGCGTTGTTTTCTTCTCCATCTTTCCAGATCGCTGTCATGTTACTGGAAAGTGGGGCTAACCCAGATGCTAAGGACCATTATGAGGCCACAGCAATGCACCGGGCTGCAGCCAAGGGTAACTTGAAGATGATTCATATTCTTCTGTACTACAAAGCTTCCACAAATATCCAAGATACTGAGGGTAACACTCCTCTGTAAGTGACAAGTAGCAGTCATTTGTGTTCTACCTGATTTTAGGCCCCTTTGCACTAATTCTTACACATAATTAATTTTTATTCTGCTCATCATTGAAATCCATTTATGCAAAGAAATTGGAGAGTTACTCAAAAGTATGAAGATAAAAATTGCTTACTATTTTATTACTCATAAAAAACCATCGATGATATTTGTATGTGTTTTCTCCCAGTTTTTTATGGGCACATGCCCATATCTTACATTTTAAATTTTTTTTTACAAAATTAGAATTATACCATACATATAGTTTTATAGCTTGTTCTTTTCATGATAATTGTATAAGGACTTTGCAGTGATAAGTGGCTATATCCAGTTCTAACTTTTGGATGCGCCATAATTTAATCATTCCTTTCTTTTTTAGTTTTCTTCAATACAAATAATGTCCTAAATACAAAAAATTTCAATAAAATATGTCAATACAAATAATGTCCTCAATACAAAAAAATTGTCCAACCTCTTACCCCCTAAAAATATTTCACCATACTCCTAATGATTATCTTATTAAAGATTCCTAGTAGTAGAATTGCCAGGTTAACAAAAACACACATTTTGAGACTGTTATTATATATTGCCATATTACTTCCAGAGGAGTTGTAACACTATACACTACTAGCAGCAGTTTGAGAGTACTTATTACCTCCTCCCCAACACTAAAATACTCTTTTTAATATGTGAAAATGTTTCACTGTTATAATTTACATGATCTTTTATTAAGCATTTTTTGCTTATGACTAATTACATTTCTTCTTTGAATTGTGACTTCTGCTCCCTTTTCTTTGGAGAATTAATTTTTTAGTGATTTTTGTAAGTGCCCTTGACTATGACATAGAAAAAAATATTAACCTTTTCTTCCATCAAGCCGAAAATATTTTCCTGGTTTGTTTTTTATAGTATTGCTCATAATTTTTTAAAAAATATGATGTTCTCTAATTCTGCAGATCCCAATTTAGTCCTCAGGACCACATTGCCCCCCCCCAAGTACCACTAGTGTAGCCCCAACTGTTCCTTCCCCCAGACCCCAGAAGTTTCCTACTTCTATGAAGTCATGTTTATTCATGTTCCCCATGACTAGAAATTCCTTTCTCACCCTGAAGTTAGTTAAATATTCACTTGTCTTTTACCGCAGGCTTTCAAAATGCATTGGTTTGGTTTGGGTTGAGAATTTATTGTTGTTGATTTTCATTGAACTCAAATCCAGCTGGAATTGATTTATGTGACTGAACTGACACTATTCTCCATCCTGACCTTTACTTTGTAATGCTTTTCCCTCTCCATTATATGGTGCCTTTTCTGACCCAGAAATTGAGTCTTTTTCATCCAAAGTGAATTTTAGTTTTTTCACTTTGACTTTAAGCTACTTTTTTGTTGCTTGGGGGCCACACTCAGCAGTTCTCGGGGCTTACTCCTGGCTCTGAGCTCAGGGATCACACTTTGAGGTCTTGTGGGAACCCCAGGTGGTGTTGAGGATCAACTCTATTTAGAAAGATTAATTACACAATCTAGCTCTTCTGTCCTTGAAAGTCAGAGTTGCTCAGAAGATAATATTGGAATCAGATACCTCTAGGTATCCACAGGGGCCTGGGAAGAACCTAGGATTTTGGAATAGCTGTTTCCCCAATACAAACTTGACCAGTTGCCAACTACGCTAAGTATTTTTTATTAAGTAACATGGGGGAAGTTTCTAATTCTTACTGTGTCTTAATTTCCTCTTCCATAATATGAAGATAAAGATTTCTTCCTTGCTAGACTGCTGCAAGATTTAAAATTTTTAAAAAAGTTAAGTCTCTAATAAATACCCTGCTTGGCAGAGTGTAAGGACCTAAAAAGATCCACCCCAACCCCACTTGGTAACTGCTTATCATAGGCAAGGGCTTCAATTCTGTCAATTTTAACTGTACACGACAATATCTTGCCAATTAATAAGGTATATTATAAGGATCAAGTGATAAAATCCTTTAAATTGTCCTACTAAAGTTTAAACCATGCATGGGGTTAGAGAGATAGTGCAACAGATAGTGTGCTTTCCTGGCACATTGATGGACTGAATTTGATCTGCACCATCCCATTTGGTTCCTTGAGCTCCCACCAGGATTTTTCCCTTAGCACATAACCAGCAGTAAGTTCTGGACACTGATGAGTATGGCCCAAAATAAAAAAAAATTAAGTCATGCAAATTGTTAGTAGCAGATTATGAATTTTTACTTTTCTAATTTCTTACCCAGAATTATTGCATGTGTTTTGTTAGACAATTTAGACAATTTCCTAATCCCAATAAAATAAAGATGGTGATCCTTAGGCTGGTAGGACCAGAACTATTGACTTATGATCTTGTATTACAAGGATGATTCACTGAATTTTAGCATCTAATAACCTTTTCTATGCAAATTGATTTTCTTTTCCTTATTAAAAACTTTGCCATACTACACTACATAATAGTAGACAGTTGAGACTGTGACATAGCATTGGTAGTGATTAATTGGTCTTTGTGGTCCTCTATTTCAGACACTTAGCTTGTGATGAGGAGAGAGTAGAAGAAGCAAAAGTGCTGGTGACCCATGGAGCCAGTATTTACATTGAGAATAAAGAAGAAAAGACACCATTGCAAGTGGCCAAAGGTGGTTTGGGTATAATACTCAAGAGAATACTGGAAGATTAAGCAGTTTGAATTTCTTTTTACTTTAAATGTTTTCTGGTTGTCCCCAGTATCTTGAAAACTATTGTATTTGTGCACAAGACACCGTGTATTAATGAAGTTTCTCACCTTCAGAGTCTTAGAAACATGCTGAGTATTGTTCAAGTGAGGTACTTGTTCTAATCTTGCACCCTGCTTTCCAGTTATTGGAAAAGCTAGAGATTGTTCTTCTATTGTTACCTACCATTTTGTATTGCATTTTGGTTCATTTTGAGTAAGTGATGCTGTGGCTGTTGTGAGTTTTCAGCATCTTCTTATGTACCCCGTATAGATCTGTCCTCCTGTAAGGCAGAGCCAGGCTAATAACAGCAAGCCAACTGTTCTGTCCAACATTTCTAGGTGAACTCTACAAGGTTCCTTGGTACAATTGAAATACTTCCTAATTCATGTTTTTAAGCTCACTCAGAGTCCTATGCCAAATATTTCTGTTTTGCAACAGTACAGTTTATTTTTCTTATAGGAAGAATAATATATTTTAAAGGACCAAATTTTAAGTTCAACAATATGTGTTACCCAGTTCAACATTGATAAGCAGTAAAATTTAATAAAAGGATTAAAGATACTAGCCTGTGTATTTTTCAGTGAACTATTTACAAAATAGAATGTATTATTTTAAAGGAAGTTTTAAAATATCCATGTTAAGTCATCCTGTTTTTTAAAAAAATCTTCAAATTATTTTGAATTACAGAGTAAAAAATTATTTTTGAGTTTCTGGTATACAGTGTTCCAACAGCATTCCCTTCAATGTTCCCAATTTCCCTCCCATCCCCCCAGCCTACCTCTATGGCTGGCACGTTTTCCCTCCTCTATTGTTTAGTATTTCCTTCCCTGACCTATCCTCCACCACCACACCCACTCCAGTGGCAAACTTCCTGCTGAAGCCCGTTCTCCTGCTCTTTTCTATTGCCTTTGGTGTTTTCTACTCCCGTACTGTGTTTCTTTATATCTGGCATATGAGTGAATTCATTCAATGTCTGCCCTTCTCCCTCTTCCTGACTTCACTCTGTTTGGTATACTCTCCAGATTCATACACATCGCAGCAAATTATGTGACTTTATATTTTCTTATGGTCTAGTAGTAAGGAAAACTAGTCTTATTAACATATGAAAAATGTATTTTGATTGGTATTTCAGAAGCAAAAAATAAAATTGAAAGAATTTCCTAATATTTCTTTCTAGTTAGTAGGACTTACTTAGTAAAGACATTTTTCACTTTTCGGTAACTCTAGAGTCAATAAAATTAATGAAGCGTGAACTACATATAAAATCTTTAAAAACAGTAATTTTCTGAATTGATAATTAAATGTGGAACAAAAAGGAAATTAATAAGTGTAAACTTGATCTTAATTTAGGGAAAATGATTATTAGTCCTAAAATCTAATGAACTCCAATGACTCTTCAATTGTGTTTTTAATTTGAAGCTTATGCAGCAGATATTGCTAAACTAAGTTGTTCAAGTGAGTCCACAAACTTGCATCTTAATGACCAGTAGCCAAAATGAGTCTGTTAAGCACAAACTGTTACGGATATATAAACCCTCTTAAGATAGTTTGTTGTTGATCTTCACAGGTCCTAAGCAGTCATCTTTTTGTGCTACTAAGTCTCAGAATATGCCAGCGGAAACATTCTTCTGTGTTTTTTGGTGTGATCAGAGAGAGGAAAAAATGGTGGTCCCTTCCCTATCCCAACTGCCTTATCCCCCAGCTCTTGTGTCTGGTAAGATCAGTTGGGATGATATATATTATAAAGGTTAAGGTGTTTGCCTAGCTTTCAGTGTGGCCACAACCATGATTTGATCCCAGCATCACCATTTGGTCCCCCAAGCACAGCCAGGTTATCCCAGAGCACCTCTCTCCCCAAAGGCCTGTATGGATTACAGATATTTAATTTTCATAAATAGTAAACACAGTAAGTTTATTGTCTGAGTAAATAGGCTTTATAGGTGTAAAAGAAAATCTATCCTTATTCTTTAATAAGTAAGACGGAGTCAATCCTCATCTAATTTGTAAGCTTATCCTCAGGTAATTGTACTTTTAAATGAAGGGGCTTGTTAACCATATTTAAATCACAGATTTTATAAACTAAGAATAGTAATTATCACAGACATAGATCAGATTGTTGTCTATTCCCTATTGGAAATTCCCTATTGTAAATTAGTATAAAGACTAATTCAAGAGCAGCAGTTGTTTAATACTTCTGAAATGAACTCAAGAAAGAGAATTTTTATTACAAAATTTAACTGAGACTATAAAATGGAAAAAAGTCTCCAATGGAGACGTTACTGGGCCCGCTCGAGCAAATCAACGATCAACGGGAGGGCCTTTACCTTTTTATAAAATGGAAAATTTACATAAATTTACATTATCAAGTTTCTGTTTGAGAGAATTCACAATTTCACTGAGGGTCTGTGAGATTCAAAGTAAGTCTGCATTTTAGTTCCATCATCTTTGGCTTAGCAATTTAACTATGAATTGTGTGGGTTACTTTCCTTTACAAATTTTACTGGTGGCATTGTAATTTACAAAACTTTATGATTGAGTTTCATACATACTGTTTCAATACCACACCCTCTACCAGAGTGTCTGTTTCCCTCTGCCATTGTATAATGTACCCCCTCAACTCACCTCCACCTCCCCTGCCCCATCATAACCCCACTATTTTAAGCTCAGTTCTGTAGACAGGTTCTCAGACTGTGCTGCCTTTGGCCATTTGTTATTCCCTTACTATGTTTCTTTATATTAATTGTTGTGCATTTATTTATTTTTATTGAGTCACTGTGAGAGACACAGTTACAAAGCTGTTTCTGATCAGGTTTCAGCCACATAACAATCCAACACCAATACCTCCACCAGTGTACATTTCCCACCACCACCAACCCCAGGTTCCCTACCGCCACATTATGGTTTGCAGTACAGATACTGAGGGGTAATCATGTTTATTCATTTACCTACTTTCAGCATGCAGTTCTAATCAGAGTGATCATTTCCAACTGTCTTTGTCATAGTGGCCCCTTCTCTATCCCAACTGCCTTATACCCCAGCACTTGAGGCAGGCTTCCAACCGTAGACAAATCCTCCCGACCCTTGTTTCTACTGTCCTTGAGTATTTATTAGTCCCAATTATTAGGTGACATAAATTTGCTAGTAGCATTGTTCTACCACAACTTTCTTGGATTCTGATTTATATTCTTTTTGACTGCTAAAAAACTGGATAGATGAAAGGTACCATGGTAGTTCTGTAATAATCCATTAACTATAACCCCTTTCAGAGCTTCATGCTTTTCTTTATACTGGTGAGGGAGGGGTTTCCTGGAACTTTCATCATTACTAAAATCTTAGTTTGGCTTTCTGTTTACACCAATATTGAAAACACATGAGGCATTATTTTGTTTTTGTTTTGTTTATTCTTTTGCTTTTTTGGTCACACCTGGCGATGCACAGGGGTTACTCCTGGCTCTGCACTCAGGAATTACCCTTGGCGGTGCTCAGGGGACCATATGAGATGCTGGGAATTGAACCCAGGTCAGCCGCGTGCAAGGCAAATGCCCTACCCACTGTGCTATTGTTCCAGCCCCATATGAGGCATTATTTTGGTCTATATTGGTTTGAATCTGTGAGATCCTCTAACTACTTTTTTCTATCATATCACTGTATGACTGTTATCCCTTTGTCTATCAATTTGCTCTAGCAGGCGCCAGTAACGTCTCCATTAGTCCCAGTCCTAAGATTTTATCAGCCTCTCCTGATTTGTCCTTCCCAATGCTGCTGTATTGGAGGCTCTTTGAGGGTCAGGGGAATGAAGCCCGTTTTAGTTATTGTTTTTGGCATATCGAATATGTCCCAGGTAGCTTGTCAGGCTCTGCTCTATCATACACATTGTAAAATAATAAAATGAAAAATTCCATGTGTTTCACTGAAATCAGTGGTGTAGTGCAGTTATAAGAGCATTATACTTGTAATAACAGAACATGGAATCTAATTCCCAACTTCATACATTCTCAGGTAGATTATTTTACCCTACTTCAAGTATGGGTTTTGGATGGGAATATAGAAGAATGATGAAACTTTTTTTGCATTTTGGAAATTTTATTAAAACAAGGTGATTTACTCAATGGAGTACTATGTAGCTGTTAGAAAAGATGAAGTCATGAAATTTACATACAAGTGGTACTACGTGGAAAGTATCATGTTAAGTGAAATGAGTCAGAAAGAGAGGGATAGACATAGAAAGATTGCATTCATCTGGGGAACATAAAGTGACAAAATAGGAGACTAACACCTAAGAGTGGCCGAGATTAGTACCAGGAATTTTGCTCTATGGCTTGGAGGCCAGCCACTCATGCTAGGGGAAAAGAGCTCAGATAGAGAAGGGAGCACCAAATAAAGGGTGTTGGGAGGATCCTCCCAGGATGGGAGAAGCATGCTGAAAGTAAACTATAGACCAAACATGATTGCCACTCAATGCCTCTTTTGCAAACCACAACACCCAAAAGGAGAGAGAGAACAAAAGGGAATGCCCTGCCACAGAGGTAGGGTGAGGTGTGGGGTTGGGGGTGGGAGGGATACTGGGACCCGTAGTGGTGGAAAATGGGCACTGGTGGAGGGATGGGTATTTGATCATTGTATAATTGAAACCCAAGCACAAAAATTTGTAAGTCTACAACTGTACCTCATAGTGTTTCACTAATAAAAATTAAATTAAAAAAATGCAATAGCTATTCTCATCATCTTAAAGAACAGAGCAATCCTGTTATTACTTAGTCATATACAATAATACACACAGTTCCTTCTACTGTCCTTGGTGGTCTATATGCTCTAATTTTTCAATAAAAGAAAACCACTGGAATAAAAACACGGCGATTTACAAAGTTATTCATAGTTGAGTTTTAGATATTCTGTATTGCAGAACAAATCCCATCACTAGTGTCAACTTGTCTACACCAATCTCCAGATTCGCTCCCAACCCCGCCCCCCTGCCCCCCACTCATGCACACAGCCTGCTCTCTTGAAGGGCACCTTTCTGAGTTTGGTTGTAGAAATAATCAAATGTGTTTTAAAATTGTTTAGTTAAAGAACTGTGTTTTACAAAGCATTGATACTTGAATTTTAGGCATATAATATTTCAGTACCGGTCCCACGATTATGTGTAAACTTCCCTCCACCAGTGTTTTCATATTCCGTCCCTATCCCCAAACCCTACCCCATCCCCCATCCTGTCAATACAACAGGCACATTACAATGTTCCAGTGGTTGCAGTTTAGATTTCATGTTTCCAGTGTTGTTGAGTCTTTGTTTTGGATATATGGCTATAACACTCACCCTTTTCACCAGTATAACTGAAGTCCTGACTCCTATTCACCAATTGCTTCCCCTTTCTTCTCCCCTTGATTTCTTTCCTTCCCTGTCCCTCTCCTCTCTGAACATTGGGGTCAAGGGTGATCCAGGCATCCCTCCTTTACTACAATACATTTGCTCATCCAATATTCTGTATATCACAGATAAGTGAGATCATCCTGTGTTTGTCTTTCTACTTATGGCTTACTTCACTCAACATGATAAGGAAT